CGACAGGTGTACGTTGACTCGGTCGAGAGCCGGGCTTCTTGACTGAGTATCATGGAACCTTACTAATAGAGTCGACTTTGCCGAAGTCGACTTGGCAGTCTCGAACCGTGGTGACATGAACCGCTTTGAGCCAATTGTGGCAATACCACGGTTACTGAACCGATACACGACAGTATGGCTATATCATCTCATGTTAGTTATTATTTTTATCTATTTTACCTTGAAATATACCCAATATAACCGAAAACATAATATTGTGTTTGATGTTCCAATAAAAATAATAACTAAATAAAATATTTGACTTGAAATTTTATTTTAGTGATTAATTAAATAAGATTGATAATTTATTATTATAAAAATTATTATAAAAGGAAAGGAACTCATACTCACAAACTGTAAGTGAGACAAATAATAAGTGAGGTATTGAGATGAGAATCCATAATAAATAATTATGTATAATATTAAACATTATTTGTAACAATAAATGATTATAAAAACAATATATAATTGGGCTTTGTATAATAATTGATTATGACTAAAATAAGTACAGTATTTAATTGTAACACAAATTTATGTTATTGTTTGAATGGTAAATAATACATAGAAATTAACAAAATTTATTTTATGGTAATAGATGTAGTTAAAGCATTTATTTAGTCAAGAAAAATTGGAGTGCAAATTCCAATACATTTAAAATATAAATTAATTGTTTATATGACATAAATATTTTTTGTTAATAAGTCATGCATAGAAATTGATAAAAGTTATTACAATGTATTAAATATAATTTTTGGGGGGAAATTTTGAACTGCTTTGCTTTAATATATATATAGATACTTGGGAGAATTTTCCCCTTTTCTTCACTTTCGCATTCCATCGCACTAGAGCTTTCTGCAATCGTCGAGCACCCTGCAACCTTGAATCCTCCATCTTCTCTGCAAATTCTCTGCCGCTCGCCATGAGTAAGTCTTCTTTAACTTTTAATTTGTGTTTATTAGCTTTTAATTTTTGGGTTCTTCCCCTTTTCCTCGAACCTCTTCTCGATTCTGACCCCGTCCACTGTTTGTCTTTCTCGCTGTGCTCTCCCACGTTCTTCTCCGTCTTGTTTTTCGCTTTTGTTCTTTCTTTCAGTTGATTATAATTTTCTTTTTCTTTTATCTCAGATTCTGCTACTTCGAGTGAAAATGATCGATTCAGCGAAAAGGACTTGACTCCCCCTTCTTCTTCTGCAACCCTTAGCCTATCAAGCGATTCCGTACAAGAAATCCTTCAGCCTGAGCCTATTTCCATCCTTCCTCCTGCGATGACCAGCGACAGCCCTACGGCCACTGCTCTCTCTCCCTCCACCTATCTTGTTGACCAGCCTGAAGATGAGGTCACCAGCCGTCCTCCTTCTCCTCCCGCCGAGCGTGCTCGTCGAGCTATCGGTCGGGATGACGAGATTGAAGACGAGGACGATCCTCAGGACCATGTCCCACTGTCTGCCCGTGATCCCGCTGACTTTGTTCCTCTGTCCTCTCGTGCTCCAGACTCTTCGACCATGCCTTCTCAGCCCAAGCCATCCAAGCGCTCTAAGTCATCTAAACCGTCTTCGAGCGCTTCCCGTCTCGACTTTGATGCAATTGGTCATCCTGAGACTGCTCGTACCCCTGACGATGATGTACGATAACCCTCCAGATGGCTATTACACCTTCCTCCGCTCCCATTTCGACCTAGGCCTCCGTTTTCCTATTTGCCCGGCCTTGCTCGACCTGTGCAGTTTATATGGCCTACCTCTCAACCAAATCACCCCCAACGCTTTTAGGACATTAGTGTCTTTTATTATTTTGTCCATAGTTCGCATGGGTAGAGTAGATTTAGACTTTTTTGTATACTGCTATTTTGCTTCCAAACAATCGGACGACCTCTATTTAAAAAGCCAGAATAAAGCTTGTTTTATTACTGATCGACCATCCAATGTTCCCAGATGGAAAGACTAGTTTGTGTATGTACGTTCCCTTAATCTAGGCAGAGACTCGTGCTTTGTAGTTAATAAGCACGAGTCCTTTGTACCAAAAAAAAATAAAAAATAAGCACGAGTCCTTAATAAGCATAAATGTATAATTAATACTAACAGAGATCATTTGCATATTTCATACTTTTCTTAGTTAATTCATATTTTAGTATATTACTTATTATAAATATGTATTCTTTTTATTTTTAAAACTTTATACTTTTTAAATTATATTTTACTTTTTACATATGATATATCAAAATAATCATATTTTAATGATGTTCGATATGACATCCGTATTGCATATATAAATTAAAAAGATTATCTATCTTTACAAAGAAAGCTAATTTTATTATCAAATCAATTCAAAAAACATCAAATAACAATATAAATTATTTTATAAAAATAATAATAAAATAATCCATTAATACACCATAAAATAATTATTTTAATATATCTTCTCATAGTTTTCGAATCAAATATATGGAGTTGTAAATAATGTCAATCTTATGTATATATTATTTTAAAAATATAACTAACAAATATTTTTTTATAAAATTCAGTGTAAAAATGCTGGCACAATTTGCATTAGTTATAACTTTGTTATTCATTTATTATTGTTGTATATTCATTATACATAATTTTATAATAAAAACAAATTATTTTATTTTTCTTATTATACAAATATTAAGATATTTAAGTACTCGTGTAGTACATGAGTATTGTATTAGATATATTCATTCAAAACATGTTTAGCCTAAGCCTATGTTTGGTTCACGGGAGGGGAAGGGAGGGGAGGGAATTTAATGGAAGGGAGGGGAGGGGAGGGAAAGGGAGGAAAAATAATTTACCTTGTTTGGATGGATTTTGTAGAGAGGGAGGTGAAGGAAAATGATTAACCTTGTTTGGTTAGAAGATGGAGGGGGAGGGAAAATAATGTTAGAATGACAAATATATCCTTAATGATGTAAGAAAAAAAAATAAAATAATTCACAATAAGGTCAAAAGAGTAATTTGATGTTAAAAATTTTCCCTCCCCTCCAAATTCCCCCACTTTTGGAGGGGTGTGTATTTTCCCTCCTCCAAGGGATTTGAAGGGAAAATCTTAATCCCTCCCCTTACTTAAAATCGAACCAAACAAGGGAAAACTAAAAATTTCCCTCCCCTCCCTTCCCCTCCCCTCCGTTTCCTCCGAACCAAACAAAGCCTAAATGATAGACTTTCACGCTTCGGATGTTGACATGGCAAAAATCTATGCTTCGTAATGTTGTTTATATATTTTTTATTGCTCTGGAGTTAGACTTGATATTAGACAAAAATAAATTTCTTCAAACTTGATAAAATGGTAAGTGTATATTTAATTTTGTTTTTTTTTTTTCTCTTAGTACACATTTCATTTTTAGATTGAGCAAGTAGCAATCTTACCATATTATGATTGTCTACCATATTTCTCTCATAAATTAGAATTTACAAATCACTTTCTACAATGTTTATTCTTCTTATTTTTCAAATCAATTAGACCATCAAAATTTTTAAATAAAAAATTTATTTTAGCAATAATTTTTATTATATATTTTTAAAAAATGACCCGTGTAGTACACGAGTACTGTACTAATTTATATATTTAATTTAGAGTACAATCGTAATACAGTTTTCTCGGGCATCCACGGGCACACACTAGTTAAGAATTATAAGCTCTCCCTCAGTGGCGGAGCCACACCTTGTGGCTGGGGTCAGCTGACCCCTATGGATTTCAAAATTTTTAGTATAAAATACTGTTCAAACACTGTTTACTAGGTT